TCTGACTTATGTAAAGACTTTTCAATCTGTAAAAATCTTGGCCTGGAAAGACCACATGTACTATTTTTTCACAGGTATGTTTTGGCAGGTCTCGACCAGTCGTAGTATGACAAAGGTTGACTTCTGTTGTGTTATCACTAATTTTCTACAGTGGTTCAGTTTTCTTCCCAGCGCCGTTCAAGAACGTTGCCATCTTACGTGCCGCTGCATCAAGCAAATTTTCCGAATCAGTGATATGGACACGAAAAACCACGTGACAAAAGCAATAAACCAGGTCGTAATAGCAAAAAATTTCTTCAGTGGAACATTCTATAGGATTTTGCCCATCTCTTATACGATAACCGAGTTCGGAGTTAGTCTAGAAGAGCGGACACCCGGAAACGTAACACAAGTCCTTGGTGTCGTTCATTCTTCGCTCATATCGTTGGCTCGTCACTGTTTGAAACGAATCTCCTGCTGCCTTTATCCTGACTATAAAGTCCCTGACTGAAATCCTTTGCTTATTACCGTTCACATTGACTCCGCCTATTTAGTGTCTATTTTTGTTCTGTCGAACGAGTTGCTCAAAATTAAAACAATTCTTCGCATAAGCTACATAACTGCAATTGTTATGTAATAGATTATGGTGTATGACTCGGTAAAGTAGAGTTTTACAATTTTGTAGTACTGTCCATTCCTGCAAGGCAGCCTGACCAACCGACTGATGCGAGACCTGTTGGACCGAGTGAATAATCCGAGCACCGGCGTATACGATATGATTTCAGAGTTGGACGAAGAGCCTGGTCCGAGTCGCGCTCCTCGTCAGATCCCATCACAGTTAACGGTGAAGCAGATACGCAGCGGGGTCACTAACTTAGTTGGTAAGCGTTTCTTTTTTAGCACTGTTTTCTTTGGCTGCTTTTCAGCGTGATGCATTTGTGCTGCTTGAGGTTGCCAGTCGGACCTGCAAAACGGCATATTGACATCGTCACCGGCTCCCCGTTTGGTAATGAGTTGCCTTTTAATGCTTAACCGGTTCGTTAAATCTAAATGTTTTGCTTTCCTCAGGTTGCGTCTGAATCAGACGTGCAGACGTTGCTTCATTCCTTGAAGTTACACCCGAACAGAATGAGCAAAGACTTCAGCAAGTACGTTGTTTCTAACTAATTAAGTCTTTGTAGTACATTTACCGTTAGATACGTTTGTAATGGGCAAGGCCGGTGTTATTCAAAATATCTTTTTGTATTCATACCTTTATACGCATTTTAGTGCCTTTAGCCTAAGCATTAAGAAAAGTCTGTTCAGTGTGAAATCTGACGCTTTTCAGACTTGATACGTGCCGGTTAGTCAAGAGTTATTACCCACTGACAGTTGACAAATGCCGTCGGCTATTCAGGCTTATAACAACAAATTGACATTGTTTAGCAAAGTCCCTGCACCGTATTTCATCGATTTTGACCATCCACGTGGCATTAATCATGTTCATTGACCTAACTTCAGGTGGGTTTTTGGCTTGTTCACTGGTAGGTATCCTCCATACCCAGGATATCGGGCATAAAAAATGATTTTATTATGCTTTATCTGGGCAAAAATACTGATGGTGGCTCCTTCCGCTTTTTCTAGTCACATTATTCTTCTCTTAGATGTATTTGCCTTACAAGGTTTATGCCATTCCGGTCAGGAGGCCACACTGCAACCTGGAAAGACTAGGTAGAGGCAGATCTGAGATCCGACAGATTTGACAAGAATTTTTCCTTCAGCGACGCAGTAACCGGTACCGATTCCTCGTAGTGGAAGTGTTATGAAGTGGCGAATGCGACGGACATCACTAATCAGAGACGGCTCAAGGTGGACATCTCACATGCAAAAATATGGTATTTCCTGCAAGTTCCGAAAACCGTAATTTCATTGACCGACTGTCGAGA